GATCGCAGGCATTTCATGATAAGTCTGGTATTGGCGATTAGCCTTCGGTGACATGCGCTCACAATCTATGGAGAGCATGATAGTCCTATAGGTGATAGGCACTATCCAAAGGAGTTACAGAGCTTCAAAATTCCCCCAAAATGTTGGAGTTTACGTCTAGAAAGATGCAGGAAGGAGCACCCGACCACAGACAAGAAGCGTGAATATTAGATAATGGCCAAATACTTAATGTTTATAGGCCATCAACAGCAACCTCTTTAGAACCTCATTGTGTACTCATTCAATTAAAAGTTTAAGTGTTTTGATCTAGTGCCTAGTTCATTTCATCTTTTTAGTTCATTTACATGGCCACAAGATTATTACGGAGAAAGACAATCTAAGATCGTAAGTCGGGCTACAGGTAAACGCGCTGTTATAAGTGTTGACCACTCACGATGCGCAGTGGTTCTAAAAGAAATACAGAGGTACCATGGTCCTGGTTTGTGGGCGTGGCGTAAAATTTTTTCACCCCTGAGAGGCACCAATTCTACAACAACACACTGTCACATATTTTTGGTGCAATACCCTGACAGGTATCACAGAGGCTGCTGCTGTGGACCTTTTGAGGCTGAACAGCCTAAGAGGTACTAAACCCGCCCTTTTTAACCTCTAAAAGCTATGGTGAGCACCTCAGTCCCTTTCTAACAAAGCGTAGTCAAAACGGGTCAATTTTTCGGTGTTTGTTCAAGCGTGAAATATTCAACTTTGTCTAAACAAACTGTCGCGCTTCATCATTTAGAGTTATGGAAAATCCGTACTGTCAAGCACCGACTTTAATTTGAACGCGTGAGAAGGCTATACAAACGACATTAAACAGGGTTTGGTGGAAAATAAATCTTGATTAAAATAGTACGTACGTGCAGAAACATAAACACGGTAAATTGACGGTATGGACACAAAATTGCATGTTTCACGCTTGAACAAAAATACTCCCTGTGGCACGTTTCAAATTTCGAAACTTTTTACTTGTTTACGTTTCCAGAAAACTTTTAAAACGGCAGCCGGCTGTTATTTTGAACCCTGAAGATAATACCGGAAAACGATCAAGATCAGAGTATTCAATCATGATTACTTACAAGGCTGATAACTGACTTATCTTTCAGGCTGATAAAAGAAATGATGATTGAGTGACACTGCCATCTGCCAAAAAAATTATTACGTTTTTAAAGATTCCCGCTTTCAAAGATTCCCCATTTTGAAGATTCGCGCTCCTAGAGATTCCCCGTTTTCAAGATTCTCGCTTTTAAAGATTTTCCGTTTTAAAGATTCCCGCTTTTAAAGATTCCCTGCTTTAAAGATTCCCGCTTTTGAAGATTTCCGCTTTTATAGATTCTAGTGAGACCTATTACGTGTCTGCGGTATTCCTCATTGCACGTGACTGAGCTTTGTGGAGAAACCCGAGGGTAAACCTATACTCCGACTAAAAAGTATACTAGTCTACACTGGCTCCTTTTCAACTTTCTATTCGTGGATATAACAGAAATTTCATGGAGCAAAGTTTACAGGCTTTATAAAAGCAAGTTATAATATCCAAGACATGATCCATGACATCCCGTTGTGTGACACTCTATACAAACAAAGAGCTCACTTACTGATTTTAAAAATGTTAATTTTTTGTCGCGATAATCTTGCAGGCGTATCGCGTGATACTTTTTTTCCTGATTTAGAAATTAAGCTAAGGGTTTGATGACAGTTGAGTTACTTAAAATTTTGGTGTATAATTAATTAAGCGTAGCACGGTAATGACAGACTTGTAGCAAGAATGTTAAGATTGCGCACGGCAGGAGTGATATATAAAATCAATAATGGTCTGAAACAGTTAGGTAAGGAATTGTCAAGGGAAATTGTGCGCGTGTGTTTGGGTTGGAACATCTTGTTACTTTGGTGATGTGTCATTCGTGCCGCAAATAGTGCGTGCGCGCACAAAG